AATCAAGCAACCTCTTCTCTAATTTCCAAAAGAATAATTACCTTAGAAGGAAACTTGGGAAGAGACCCCAGTATGCACTGGGAGAGCAGTGATGATGTGCTGCTTGCTAGTGCCTGTTCTTGGGCCAGCTTTAATCTGTATTTTCTGCCTTGCCCCTTATGGATGGAACTGGTGCCAGGGGATGATTTAACCACTGGCATGAGCTGGGGCAGGAATTCACATCTATTTTCAAATCTGTCATCTGAAGCCATTAAAAATCGGGACTGGAGAATATAGTCTGGGTGAAATATGTTGATTTTGAATGCCAAAAGGTTTTTCCATTCTTTGTGCTGCCTCACTTTCACTAATAAAGAAGAACTTGGGGTTTTTTTCAATCATACATTCAGGAGAATTAGGGATTGTCTCCAGCAAATGTTGTGTGTTTTCAGTGGTGTTTAAAGGAGCTGATGACTTCTCAAGCTCACTGTTACTCCCAGTTTCTTCTTTGCTCTCCTGAGTACTCCTGGTTCATGCTGGTGGTCCCCAAACCCTGCTGATTGTCACTGACTTTTATGGAAATCCTTTCTTCCACAGCCTTATGACCCAAATACCAGCATAAGTAGTTTTAATTTTACTGGGCTCCTGCAACCCCTACTTTGGGGCCTGCTGATATAAATATTGCCAAGAGCATGTCAGGTAGAACATCATGTTAATATAAACAGCACCTCGAGGTTTGAGGAGGCAGTGCCAGCTGAGCCTGCACTGGCCCAGCTTTCACCACCTCTCAAACAGCACTTTGGGAGGGCTTCTCTTTTAATGGCATCAACTAAATAAGTACATAAAACCTAGGAGGTTGGGATATACAAGGATTGTTTCTCCAAAAACCACCCTGGTAACCTTTTGTACATCTCATTAGTACCAGCTGGTGGGTGTGCACCCCCTAGGCAGTGTTGAGGATGAGTCTGAAGCACAGAAAAAGCTGAGAGCTGCTGTTCAGGGGGGCCAACACCTCCCCAAATATCTCCTGTCTTTGCTTAGGAATTCCACCGGGCTGCTCCACATCTATATGTGGCTCAGCTCCCCTTCAAGTGCAGAGAAAAAGAAATAAATTGGCTGAAATAGCCTGGACAAAACTATCGAGGGAAGATGGATCAGAGCTTCTCTGGAGGCCGCAGCAGCAGCAGAGATGGTTTTAAGAAGGAGCACCATCCCTTTTCTGCCTCTGCTGGAGATAAAGGAGGGCAGGACAGAGGGATCCCCTCACCCAGGGCCACCCCCAGGCTGCAGGACTGTGACTCAGCATCCCACAGGGCCTGGAGGAGATGAAGTGAGGAGGAGGAGGAGGAGGAGAACACCAGCCCAGCTCTGCGCCGCAGCAGCAGCTCCGGGTGAGTCAGAGCTGTGGCTCCTCACCCGTCACTGTCCCAGGGCTCTGAGTCACTGTGAGCCTCACATGGCCCCACCAGGGCGTGGGGGCTGCAAACCCCTCCTAAGCCCACTCCTGAGCTCAGCCAAACCAGCCAAATCTACTCATGGTGCCCTCCCTGTGCACATGCTAACCCAGAGGAGCAGGGCAGGCCGCAGCCTCAGCCCAGGGAACGCACAAGGCAAAATAAAACACCCAGTGTGATTTAATAGAATTTAACTTCCAGGATTGCTGCCATGTCCAGTTGAGTCTGAGAGCAGAGACTGGCACGGTTTAAATCTCCTCACAATGAAAAAGGTGTCAGTCAGAATTGATGTTTCTCTCTGCAGGACTTCCTGAAGGGAAAACAAACCACGGCTCGCCCTCTGCCACTCCTCCTTCCTCTCCCCTTCTTCCTTGGCATGCAGTTCAAACAGGCAGAGAAAAGAGCCATTATTGGATGAAATAGAAAAACACAGGATGTAATAATTCATGGTTTAATACACATTTAAATTGGGAGTTTGATTTAGAAGGGAAATGAGGGCATGCATTGGTGGAAGGATCATTCCCTGCCACCCCTGGCACACTGAGATCATCTTGCTGGGGTCTCGCATCCACTCCCAAGCCTTGAGGTTTGGCACATCATTTGCTCAATTATGGGAAATATCAGAAGCTCATGGAGCAGCTCTGCTCCTATTAGAACCTTATTGAATTAATTAGAAGTGAGGGATGTGTCTGGTTTATTTTTAGTTCAAAAAATAAAGGCAGGAAATCTCCAACCTCACCAACACCACCCTGGACAGTGACCCCATCACATATTGAGTCAAACCCTGCAGTGCTCAGCTCCAGCAGCTCATCTGCTCCTTCTTACTCCACCAAAGAAACCCATGTGTCAAGCTTGTGATGATGGAGAACACATCCTACGAGATCATAACAACAGTAAAAAATCATTTTGGCAGACAGTTTGCCCAGGATTTGTTTTACAGCTCAACCATTTTGACAGGCAGAGCAAAACAGCAGGAAAAGGAACCAGGTATCTGGGAGAAAAGGGAATTTTCATTCTGTATTAGGTGAAAGTTAACACAGTCTTGTGTTTCATATTCCTCCCAGGGGACAGAGCCAGGAGGGCAGGATTGCCACCCTAAATCTGCCTGATCCCTTGTATGGTAAAATGAAAACATACGGATTAAGGGTGACAAATTCAGGTCGGGATCTCCTAATCTGTGCAGCACAGAGCTGCACAGTGTGTCACCCAGCTGGGACTTCCAAATCAGACCATAAGTGTCTCCAGTGCACTTCACATGTTTAATAGAGATTTAATTGCGGAGTGATTGCGTGTGATATTACAGAATTATCACAGATTACTTAATTGCTGATGTTAAGCAGATACTCCTCTCAATATGTGTTTTTGTTACTATAGATCCATATTATTTGGCACAGCATTGCCTGAGCAGCAGAAGAAGCAGAGATCATTTACCAGGAGAAAACCACTTTCATTTAACGTGTTGGTAAATTTAACAAGCAGATGTGTGAGATTCTTATAATTGGCTGTGGAAAGAATCCGGATCCCGCAGTTCCTAAAGAGCTGCACGCAGGGGTGAGCAGCTGAGAAGTGCCAGAGTGTGGAGGTTTCTGCAAAAATTAAGATGTGCCTGAATGAAGCTATGTTTGGAGGCATTTGGGAAGCTGCTTTTGCAGCCTGAGAGTGCAGCTAATCCTGTGCAGGAGCTGGGAGAGCAGATGGGATGGAGCTGTGGTGTTGGCTCGCTCCCCTCAGCCCAAGGCTGATGGATGCAGGAGGAAAGGCTGGAGAGTTTTGCTTCTCCTGCAGCCCCTGGGAGGGATCTCTTGGAGAATCACAGTGGGGCTGCTCCGTCCAAGACAAACCAAAACTCATCCAGAAGAGAAGTGGATTTCTGGAGGTGGCCAAAAGCAGGACCGAGCTCCCAGGGGATGTCCCCACCTCTCCTGTGCCACACATCATGCAGGGCTCTCCTGCCAAAGTCCCATCAAAGCTCTTCAGGGAAGGATCAGACACAGGTCAAATTCATTCACTTGATGGCATCTGAAGGGCTGCAGGCTGTCTGGTGATGAGTTGCATCTGTGATCACTGTGGCCACAGAGCGGCCAAAAAACAGTTTGAAAAAATTAATTCACTTGGACAAGAGAATAAAAACAGACCCTCTAGCCTTCTTTCCAAAACATGTCCCTTCAGTTGCTTAAATCTTTATTGGATAAATGGCTTTTGCAGCATTCCTGGAAGATGCTGTCATGCATCATGGAATGGAACCTTCTCCACTGTTAGCTGTGTGTTTAATGAGACAGGGAGCTCATGGAGTTGGAGTAGGGTGTGAGTAGGGAGCTGGACACCAGGGATTTTCTAATTTCTGCTCTCCTGTGCCTCTTAGCTAAGCATCAGTGATGGGGAGATGCAGCCACAGCCAGACGTATTCCTCCTGGACTGCATTATCCAAGGGAAACATCTCCTTGAGCTGCAACCTGGTCCCTGTGGGATGACAGCATCTGAGTTTGGGACATATCCACATGAATATTTTCAACCCCAAGGCAGAAAACCCCCCAGAATTTGGCTCCATGTGCCAAATCCACATTTGTGGTACCTCACTCTGGAGCAGAGCTTTGCTGCTTCCCAGCCCCTTACAGGTCACATAAAGGACGAGAGTGATGCGTCCCTTGTTGTCTGTAGAGCAAATTTGGGACCAAAAATAACTTAATTATTTTATTTAGTTTTTATTTTCTTCTTGCCTTTTATTGTGTTACGTTTTAACTGAGATTTCTTTATTTCCTGCTAGGATTCTGCCAGAATCCTGCTGCTCCATACAGAAGTTGAAACACGTATCACAAAAGAAACAAATCTTTCTCTTGATTGCCTGATAGATCTGCTTTTTAATCCAGACTGACAATGGCACTCTATCAACAGCACTTTTATGTCTCAGAGTTGTTGCATTTTATTTTCCATTGCCTGATATCCCTCAGAATCTGGAAAGGAAAAAAGCAACAGTGTCTTTCTCTGCTTACCCTGCAACTGATCATTTTTATTATGACAAAGTCCAGACCCAAACACGTTGTAATCTCAGGTATGGCACAAATGTAGAACAAAAGGATGAGTCCTGCCACTAGAAAGAGCAGTTTAATGATGCTCAGCACTGTGGCCAGTGGCTCCAGCAGTAACAAACTAATGGGATTAGAGTGGTCCTGGCCTCCCTGTCTACCTGGATGGAAAACATACAGCAGCAGTCTTTGTGAATACCATGGACAAAAACCCAGTGCCACAAGGGCGTGAAATTGAGATACAAACAGAGTTTCCTTTGAGCCAGGAACAAGGCATGGCAAGTCCTTCATCTGTACCTTCTGCTGTTCCTCATGTCCCTGCCCCAGTGCTTAGTGTTGTACTCTGTTATTTCTGTTTTTCTTGTTTTTACAGACATTTGCAGGCTGCTCGTCCCTCAGGGTTATCAATTGTTTACACTGCAGCAACACGAGAACAAGCGGGGCTGCAGGAAAACAGTTACAGCAATTAAAGCCAAGCAGACAGGTCCCTTTTTCAGCCTGATGGAGAGTTGCTCACAAATTTAAGGCTTTTTTTCCTGCCTTGCAGGTGCTGTGGTGATTGCCTTCGTGGTCTGCTGGCTCCCTTACCACATACGGCGCCTCATGTTCTGCTATGTCCCCTCCAGCCACTGGACAGAGTGAGTCACAATTTGGGGACATGTTCACCATGCCAGGACAGGCTGGGGGCTCAGGGTGGGCTGGGGGTGCCAGGGCAGCCCCAGGTGTGCAGGTGGAGGGGGGCTCTGGGAACAAAGGTGTTCTCCAACCGAGGGGTTCGAGTCTCAAAACCTGTCACAGACATGCTTTATGAAAAATCCTTTCCTTAGGGTTTTTCCTCCTGAGAAGCTGAGAGGCCTCAGGAACAAAATGTAAACATTGATTATCTGCTACTGTGGAATGCAACAGGTGCATCTGTGATTGGTCTCATGTGTTTGTTTCTAATTAATGGCCAATCACAGCCCAGCTGTCCAGAGTGTCTCGATCAGTCACAAACCTTTGTTATCATTCTTTTTCTATTCTCAGCTCTCCTTCTGATGAAATCCTTTCTTCTATTCTTTTAGTATAGTTTTAATATAATATATATCATAAAATAATAAATCAAGCCTTCTGAAACATGGAGTCAACATTCTCATCTCTTCCCTCATCCTAAGACCCCTGTGAACACAGTCACAAAAACCAACTTGCTGTTTTGATATGTTTTTTCTTTTGGTAGTCTCAGTGTTTGCCAGGCAAATGAAGAGTTTTTGTTATACCTAAATCTCTCAGGAAGCATTATTTTGAACCAAAAGGCATCCTCAGCCCCTCCTCCTCCTCCTCCTGAGGGCTGCAAGCACAGCCTTCAGTCTGGCAGCCCTTGATGAAATGACATTTGGACTGGGGGGTTGGTACACCCAGAGTGGATTTCAGTCTCTGTGCAGAGATATTGATCCCAGCCCTAAGATGCAGCAGCTCCTGTCAGCGCACAAATAACTCCACCAGGCCACATTTCCTCTCTGACAGGGGAGATGACACAGGTGGGGGAATGGCTGTGCTACTTATTGTGCCTGGGCCAGGTTTTTTGCTAGGTTTTCAGGGAGAGGATCAAAATGAAATGCCAGCAGTTGCTGCTGATTAGGAGATGTCCAGATTGTCAGAGAATTCCAGGATAATTGCACAGACACTGCTCACAGATGTGCAAAGGCAGCCCCTGCTCCTTTCTGAGGCACCAGGCCAGGCTCTCCAGCAAAGCAGCCACCAAACAAATTATTATTTTTAAATATGTCATTAAGAGCTAATGCTGTCTGGGGACACACATTGAGGAAGGCTGAGATGCCAAGGGATGCTTTCTTGTGTCTCCTCCCATGGTGAAACTTCCCTGAGACCAGGCCTGTTTCTTTCAAGGAAAAGGAAAAAACAATCTACAGTACCAAAAAGCAGAACAACAATAAAAAACTAAAATTCTTTCAATTCCAGACTCAAAATATAATAAACTAGGATATAGCAGTCTACTGACTGGGACTGTGGATCCAGCCACAGTAAAATCTAAAATCTATCTTCAGTCATGAAAGCAGAGCTCTAGGCACACACTGGGACAAATTCTTGTTTCTCCTTTGCTTTCCTATATGAAAACCACTTAAGGCACTGTTCAATTATGTAATGACTGCATTTGCTTTGAGCAAGAGGTTTAGAGAAGTCTGTCTGCATTTAGTGGGAATTTATTCATTGTGGCTGCATTCACATAATATTTTTTTCTTCTTTTTAAAACCATGATTGATTTTAGGAAAACACTGAATTTACAAAATTATAGTGAACTATCAGTCTGGTGGCTAACCAAGAGTTTGCAGCAGCTTGGTGTGTTCATTAATAAACTCATGTACCTTCCCCCTGAAGAAGAGAAATTTTTCCAATATTAATTCTTCATAACTACATGGAGAAACTCTATAAGAACTGGATGGGCCATGCAGTCCTTGGCAGTGCTGAGGGGGTGTTGAGGGATGGGCAACACAGTCCAGCACTCCTCTATTTATCTTTTGTTAGACACTGCTCAGACTAGAAAAAAGATCTGCAATTTTCACCAAGACAAATGATTCTGAGGGACATCTTCCTGAAAATGAGACCCGTGGTGTTTATAAATGCTTTACCAGCTCAGGGCTGTTGTTCTCAGCTGGCCCAAGGAAAGATATAGCCAAAAGCATAAAAGATAATAAAACATTTTCAACCAGTTCTAGTTGAAAACATTAAATTGTGGTGGTTAGGATGTGTTTCAGAAGCATGCTATCGTCAGTTTGCCCCCAGAACAGGAAATGCTGTCCTATGTTATGGACAAATCCCAACCCAGAGACCCATTGAATGAGCTGATGCTGCTCTCACTGCCAGACGGACGAGAGGGCTGCATCTGTTCCTGGAGTTTGGCTCTTCTGCAACCTCTGTAGATCAGAACTGCAGCCAAAAAAGTCAAGCTAATGTGTATGTATGACACAGAAGTGAATTTCCATCTGGCTCCTCGGGTTCCAGAATGACTACTTCCAAAGAAAAATGAGTGCATGAGGTAAATATCTTGTCTGGATCCAGGGCTTAAAAAAGTCTCTAACTGCTGCTGAGTGGGGCAGTGTCTTCATGGAGGTATCTGATCCATGTTTGACCAGTTCCAGCTGGAGATGTAGATGGGTTGTGGTGGCCCAGGCACCTTTGGTACGGTCATGTTTGCAGCCTAGAAAAAGCAGCACGTGTTTTTCTCACCCTTGTGACTTTGAGCTCTTCACACAGATTTTTCTCTTTCATCTGTTCTTCCAGTTTCCTTTACAACTTCTACCACTACTTCTACATGCTGACAAATGTCCTCTTCTACGTCAGCTCAGCAATCAACCCCATCCTCTACAACCTGGTATCGGCAAACTTCCGCCAGATCTTCCTCTCCACGCTCACCATCCTGTGCCTGCCATGGAGGAAGAAGAAGAAACGACTGGCCTTCACCAGGAAATCCAACAGCATCTCCAGCAACCACACATTTTCCAGCCAGGTCACAAGGGAAACCACATACTGAAGCCAAAGGAGGAGGAGGAGGAGGAACGCAATTCATCGTGGAGTCAAAACTTGAGAGAGGCCTCTGTGACTTTCATGCATGGTCTCCAAATTCACCTGACACAAATGTGTTTAGCAAAGTCATTTTTGTTGGAAAAAATAGGCTTTGTTCTGCCAGTAACTTTGAGGTTATTTTCAAGCATTGGCCTTGCCTCTTGTGAGTAATGTCTACATGTATTGTAACTTCAGTCTGGCATAAATCCAGGTGTGGTGTTAACTGGGAAGCCAAAATGTGTTCAACTTAGGCAAAACTGTTCTGCATTTCATCCTTTTCTCAGTGCAGAGATGCCGTGTCCACATCCAAGGGTTTGAGATCACATCTCCTGGTGGCACCAAGCAGACAGTTGGATGAGGAGAAAGAAGTTTGAACAGAAAGGGATGTTCTTGGAGAATGGATGTGCTCATCTGTGGGATGTTCAATGAACGAGGAGTGAAAACTCAGGGAGCCAGGTGGTTATTTTAGAAATATAACTCCATTGTGAGGGATATGACTGAGGTGCTCAAGAGAGCCTCTCTGGCTCCTTGGAATTAAATAAGAACAGATGATGCCTTACCTAGGCTGGGGTGGCTGTGGCCTGGGGAGTGGGGTCACCTTTGGCTTTAGGGCATCCACAGTGCCTGACTTTGGCACCACTGCAGCAGAGTCTCTGGCAAAGTCAAGAATGCAGAGGCTGTGCCCAGATGGAGCGCAGAAAATGAACAGAAATGGAAAAATCTTCCTTTTGCCATACAGCCAAATCCTATTTTTTACCAGGGAGAACAGTTTGCTGGCTTGCATTAAGAGTTGAGAAAACTCTGAGCTCATGAGGGCTCCAGGCTGCTGAGATAAGAGCAATCTGCCCCAGTTCTGTGGGACCTTCAGACTTTTCCCATTCTTATTCCAGTTTTACTTGTTTCCTTGCCATTTCCACAAGGCTGGCATCTCATATATAGCAGTTGTAGGCAGCAGGTCCTCTCGTTCTACCTTTTCTTCTATTACTTTTTGCTACCAGAACTGTTGGCACATCTATCTGCACCCCTAATATTCAGATAGTTCAAACGCAGAGCATAAGAAACTCTAAACTGGGGAGTCTATGCTCTAAACCCACTTTCTTTTAATAAGCCAGAGGAACAGAAACAGGACCTGAAAATTCTCTTTGAAATTGAAGAGAGGAGGTAAGGAGAGCTTGAGCTTTTCTCCCATAGGGTTCCACCTCTAACAGCCCCTTATATGATACAACAAATTGCTCCAGAGTCTTTAGTACTGAAATAACAGGGCTCTGGGACAAGCTGAAGGGCTTTAGTGACCTGCACAAACCTGGAGCTGACCAACCACCCTGTGCTGGTGGTGACCTGGTGTCCCCTTTCACACCACATATCATCAGGAGAGCAGGACTTGCCTCTGAAGGGTGACAAAGCACAAGAGTCAGCTCAGTTTGGCTTTCTGGGCTTTGCCCACGTCACCCTTCAGCTAAGGAGCACCTGTGGTCCCCAGCAGGAGCCACAGTGCTGGAGGTGAAGGTCACACAGTGATGGAGACCAGGGCCACTGGTGACATCTCCTGCTGCAGATGTTGCATCACAGAATCACAGAACAGGTCAAGTTGGAAGGGACTCACAAGAATCACTGAGTCCAACTCGCTGGATTTGTGGTTTAGGTCCTGTTGGGCTCAGCACAAAGAGGAAACACCCATTTGGGGACATTAGGAGTGAGTTCTTGGTGATGAGTGACAACTTTTGGGGCATTTAGAACCTGTGTGGTATTTTATTTTGTCATTTAGGACCTGTACCCAGCTGGCCACCATGGCAGCCCATCAGCCACACCTGCCAGGGATGTGAGGTGATTTTAATGCCCAGTACAGAACCCCTGCAAAAGAAAGGGCTCAAAATAAAAATCAGTGGGGCTTCAGTTCCTTGTGACTCAGCCAAGCTGCAAGCTCTGTTCTGTCATGCCTTCTTGTGATTTCCTGCCCTGGTTGTACCAAGCAGAGGGCAGAGATTATATTTGACCAAGCACTTGTGTTGCTCGTGGACTGTTGACTCCTTTTTGATAAAGAAAACAGTTAGTGGCACACAAATAAATAAATTGAAACAAAGAGGAATAAGGGAGACTGATCTCCTCAGAAGGAAATCTGTGAGAAAACAGCAAGAATTTTGTGTGTATGGTGTGTGTGAAATGCTTGGGCAGGTTGGAAGAAGAAAACCGGCTCATCCTGCCTAGTGACAAAATCAGGTGCCATGAACAGGAGAGGGGAAAAATCTGCCTTGAGAGAAAGAGGAGTCTTGATGTCACACATTTAACATTGGCCTTCCAGGCAAGACACTTCAAATGTTTCTGGATTACTCAAATTTTTTTACTTCACCTCTAAATACAGCCAGCAGCTGGGAGGAGCTTTCTGAAACCTCCCAGGGAAGCTGTAACTGCATTGCTTTGACTTTCATTACCATTTAACACCCTGCATGTCTCATTTGCTTTGAAATATTAAACATTATTACTACACTTGTTCAACACCAACCTGCTGAAATGTGCTTGATTATCTTAGAAGACACTGTACAAAAATTGTTCTTTCACATAAGATGCTTGGTTTAGATTTTCACTACTGAGATACCCGGGCAGCTTACAGAATATTTGATCACAGCTCAGAGAAACTGGCAGGTTTATTTTGGGTTTGACATGACAGTGGGAAAAAGCTGGAGTAAAAGTGAACTCATCATAAACTGTTTCCACAGTGTTTCTTGGGCCACTCGAGTGCTGAAGAGCTGGGGGAATTTGGGGGATTTCTCCAATGGTTTGCTGACTTCTGCAGCTCTGTTCTTGCAGTTTGACAGGAAAGCAGACCTGGGTCCATGGCCTTAATCTGAGATTGCAGCTCAAAGCTACCTCTTCCACTGGCCAAATCTGACAACCTTGAGCTGAGCAGTGTAAGTTACAGCTGGTTTATCCTCTCTTCCCTCCTCCCCTAATTTTGCTATATTCAGCTTTGAGGTGTGGTTCCCTTGAGCTCAAAGAAGTGAGGATAGCTGATTGCAAACCAGATGGATTCATGATTTCCAGAGAATCACTGGACAATTTGGGTTGGAAAGGAACTTAAAGATCATCCAGTTCCAAACCCCTTTTCCCTAGACCAGGTTGCTCCAAGCCCCATCCAGCCTGGCCTTGTAAAGGAAAGCTGATACAGTAGAGAAGAAAAAGGTACAAACTGCCCCATATTTACCAGAGAAATGGTTCTTTAGATGCCTTTCAACAATGATTGAACTGCTAACCCAACAAGGTTTTTAAATTGAATCTGGTGTGAATGGCTTTTGCCATTAAACAGAAAAACTCCCATCCCTTGTGTCCCTGCCTTGGCTGCACTCCTCAGCAAAGCAGAGGTGAGTGTTGGGGCCTCTGCTCATCTATGCAAATTCCCTGTGTTTGGAACTGTTTGTTTTGACTAAAAAAAGAATAAAATCTGTGGAACCCCGCAGATGTGAAGTGCTGCCAGATGGATTCTGAGAAATTCCATTCTGAAAAGAATCTATCAAGTGACCCCTTCAAACCTTATTTTGAGGCTTTGTTTGTCTTCAGAGTGCCCTTGCTAGAGCCATCAGCTTAGCAGAATGTGAAATCAGGTTTAGAAAGTCATTTTGCTATTCAGAAATGTCCCCCAGACAGGACTGTCTCACCACTGGCCAGTCCATCAGGGCAGGGATGCTGTGCTGAGCTTTTTCTGCAAGGTGCATGAGGCCTCACTTCAGTGAGATTTTCAGGAGAGAACTCAATGGGAAATCAGCCAGGAGGGTTGGCTTTAAACACAACAGCAGCAGGACCTTTGCATTTCCAGCACCCAGTGCAGCAGCCCTGGGTGTGCTGTGTCAGCCCAGTGTCCTCCTGGCTGTGTTTTTGGTGACTCTTTAACCAAAGCTGTGTCTGCTGGAGCTCTGTCTGGTTCTTCACATATCACAGCTCACCCACTCTTCCTGTTCTCAGTCTGGATTTGCTTAAAAAGTAGAAATTTCTGATCCAATATTTCATGATGCTGTGTCCTGGCTTTGTGACCCAGAGTCCTTCCCCAGCTGTGCCACCTGATAGTACTGCACATATTGTATTTATGGCAAATATTTTTGAAGTGCACCTTTTTATTTTTATTTTATTCTGAGATATGAAATGTTGATGTGCTTTATTCTTTTTTTTTTTTTTTTTTGTGGCCTGTTGCTCAATGGGGAAAAAATGAATGTTAAAAGTGTGTCAGTGTCTACTTTGTGATATTTTCTGTGACAAAGGGAAAGAAGAGGGTGTGGAATCCTCCTGTATGGCAATGGGAAACACTCTTTCAGTGTAACATGCTATTATTGATACTGTATTTACTGATCAAAGTGTACTGAAATGGTTAATTCCTGATATAGCCTTTATACTGTATGGTATTTTATTTTGTCATTTATTTATCCTAAGAAATAAATATCCAAATTTAAGGCTTGGGTTGCTTTTTGCTTGAAGTGTCAGGGGTGCCTTTATCACACAGTGATTATCAGCACAGACACCTTGCCTGGGCTCTAAACTGGTGGAACCACTGGCCTTGAGCTGGGATTTGCAGCTGCTCTGTAGAGTGGCCCTGGGTGCTCCTGTCGCTGCACTCTGCAGCTCAAATCCATCCAAGCATCAGCTGCTGCTTCTGACTTAGCCCAGCAGACAAGCAGGGGCACTGGTTAGGTGTGAAGGACATTCCCATCAGTGATGTTTGCCCTGAAAATCCTTCCTGGGATCTGTTAAATCATCAGATCTGTGCTGTGCTGTTGGGCAGAGCAATTGGGAGCATCCAGGACTTGGAGCATTGGGGTGCAGGAGCCTGAAGTGTGGGAATAATGAGATCTGAGCTCCAGACTGAGCAGCTCCAAGTGCTGAGATCCCAGTGGCACTGCAGGGTCTGAGCTCCTGCCCTGCCTGTCTCCCCTGCTTGCTGCTCCCTGCTGCAGGGCAGATGTTACAGATGTTGTAACTTGGCCCTTACTCTGCAGCAGCCTTGCCCAGAAAACTGAGCAGGTTGGGGCTTTATTGCACTGGGAACTGTAGGGGCACAGCAAAAGAATCCTCACCCCCAAGAATGATGAAAAATAAGCAGATTTATTGTGTTTTAACAGTGAGACTTCCCCTCCTATCCTCCCATCTTTAGTGTGAACCTCTTCCTCCCTGGCATTTATTTTTCTTACACAAATGTATTTGTGTATTTTTTTTACACAAATATATTTTTTTGGGGACAGAATGCTTGGGTATTACCCACAATATTAAGGCGTCCTTACACTAAATGAGCAAAAATCAGTCATCTTCATCCTCCCTGCAGCTCCTGGTTAATGTTCTGTTGTGCAATAGCTGAGCTGAGCCATAAAATCTTCATACTTTTTAACCATTCAACCCTTTTGTTTTGATTTCTGATGGAAGGGAAGGTAGCGTGGAAAGCAGCAAGAGAATAAAATTTAAATATTTGGAATCATTCATGCCTGGAAATTCCATCTTCTAAAACCTAACTCAAATGGTCTCCAAAGGCTTTTTGGTGCTGCTTCCCGATGAGAAGAGCAGGAGCCTCTATTGTCCCTACACCATCAAGCATTAAGGAATGAAAATAATTTATTTTATGGATCCTTTGATTCGGTATTCAGCCCTGCTCTGCTCAGAGGTGTATTTTCAGCTCACAGCTCATGTCTGCAGCAGTGGAAATCCACAGCACGTGGCAGCATCCTTGTTTCCTGCCTGCAGGAGATTTCTGTGCTGGGCTCCCAGTGGAGTCTCCATGGTTTGTGCAGAAATTCAGTGTTCAAGCTGGAGTTAAAAACCTTGCTGTCTGCTCGTGGCTTGTCTAGCTGAGGGCTGACTCCCTGAAAAAGCCAAATCCTGGGAAGCTGAGCTTCCCATCCCTCCCAAGCCACCCCGTGTCACGCAATCCTGCACCACGTCCCGCCCCAGAAATGTGCAGGAAAACAGAAAATGTGGAGAGTCAAATAATTCTTTTTTCCTTTAGAAAGGCACAAGGACTGTGCCTCGAGCCATGAGGAATGCTTTGAGCTCGGCCCTTATTTCTCATTTCAATTATAAAAGCAATTTCCATAGTTCACGAGGGGAAAATTTCAGGCACCTTTCGGAAAAAAATGCTACGTTTTAGTAAATGGCTTCATAAAACTTAATAAACATCCATGCAGAAGTTAATTTATTTAAAATATCTTTAAATCCTGCTCTGCCTTATTGAATTTGTTGGAACAGTAGATCGGGCTGGAGTATATTCATGAGGGCATTTAAGCAATAAGGCAGCACATCACAGTTATTATTCCAGGCCTCCTGTGGGCTGGGAAGCACAAAGCAGAACCTGACATGATTTTGGGCACTCAAGTGCAAAACCCCTCCAGAAGCACAGGCACAGGCATGGCCTGAGTGCTGCAGAGTGGCCAAACCAAGCTGCTGGGGTTGTTTTCTGGGAGCAAAACCACGCCAGGGGAGCCCAGAGCAGCCAGCCCAGCATCCATGGGCTGCCAGCCCCGTCCTGGGCTCACTCAGCCAAATGCCAGTGGGAAAGGATCACAGAACCATGGAATTACAGGATGGATTGTGTTGGAAAGAACCTAAAATCTCATCTTATTCCAACCCCCTGCCATGGGTAGGGACACCTTCCAACCTGGCCTTGGCCACTGCCAGGAATCCAGGGGCAGCCACAGCTTCTGTGGGTACCCTGCGTAGGTAGGCCTCACCACCCTCAGAGAATTTCTTCCTAAAATCTAATCTAAATAGAGAAGCAGCAAAGTTGGTTAAACATCATATCCCTGGTGATGCAAAGCAGCCAAGCCAGCCAGGAGTTTCAAGAAGGAGA